GTTGATAACAATATTTCTCTCCCCATGTACCTCTGCAATTAATCTGCAGAGGCTGAAATAGAATATGTTTAACATTCAATCCCTTTTAATAAACGTAACGATTTTTTAAGGGATACGCCGGTAAACGAGCAGACGGAGCACCTGATGGTAAAAAATCGGCGTCGCCCATGGACACCTGAAACACCAGAGGCATTACAAGTGCGTTACCGGCCTTTTGGGATTTGGAATTTGAGAGATTGGGGACGGAGGGAGGGGTAACTGAGCCTTCCACATTAGTGGAAGTACCTAATAGCTAATTGTACAAGCAGTTTGTAAATGGAAAATCTTATTACTATCATTTCCTTTAAAGATACAAAACTTCAAATCTTAATAATAAACTTTGTCCTTTGTTTTAGAATCATATCATCCACCGATTTACACACTATCTTCTACTATTGACTAGAACAACAAACTTCTGATTGACTCACAATATTTATAGCCACAGCCACAACAATTAAAACACCCCATCCACCATCGGGAGGCACTCTTGTATACTTCTTTTTCACATTATTTAGATCTTTAGCACTCATTTTAAACGAATTATAACTAGATACTAAGAATATGAACTAAACTCATGGGAGGAACAAATTACTCTTTAGTCTTTATCTCCTGTCAACATTGTCTATAATTAATTTTACTGCTCAGGATCTAGTGATAACATGAAGTAAATAATACGATTATACTATTGCTATGTAGGTTGAGGTTTGATAGAGATTTACATTCAAATAGAGTTTATTATTATCTGTCCTTTCATGTCCTAGTAGTGGAATCAATTGTTGGATGTCGCTAGTGTGGGTTTTTTGAATTTCGAGCTCTCAAAAATATTATAGACAGGAATTGTGGTTCCTTTAAAAATTTACCTAGCGACTACTGCATGAGAGCATACAATTTTTAAAGACTAGCTGTTGCTCGGGAATTCGTTCGCGTATGTTACTTCTTAGTACTATATTAGCTACCTGCTAATAAAAGGCTTGCAACATTGGTCCAGTCATTCCAGAGATTGGCCATGAGAAACAAACAGACTGACAAACAAAAATTGTATAAAATGTTATTCTGGTATGTGTTGTGTGTTGTATGTATTCAAACTCAAACTCAAAAGCATTTATTTCAATTAGACCATAATTTGGTACTTTTGAAACGTCAACAAATATGAGATATATAATAGTCTGTCAGTCTATCCGTCAGTGAAGCTAGGCGCTCGTTCCAAAATGTCGATTCGAGTAGAGAAGAACGAGCAAGAAACTCCATTCGTTACTCTTTTTAAAAAAAGTCTGTTTTACATTGCTCTGATACATATTCCAATATTGTACACACATGTGAGAATAATGTAAAGACATACCTGACGCAACATACAAATAACAGAACATACTAAAATAGAAAAAAAAAACAAAACCAAGAGAAAACAAATATCTTAAGTCTGACATGGTCGTGAGGACCATGTATACTGACAATCCATATAAAATAGTGCTTCTATACAAGAAAAAAATAAAAAATAAACTATTGTTTAAATAAAGAAAGAAATGCTCGATGCCACAAGAAAAATAGATTGCCTTCATCGGAATCAAAGTGTTAAATTACCTATTATTATTCGTATTGAATATATGCATATACTTTTTAGTATATGCATATATTCATATGCATATACTAAAAAGCGGTTATTTTTATATCACAAACAAACACACCAATTTAATTTATCTGTATAGATATTTAATTTTTGTAAAAATCTACTTAATAACTCCACACAACAGGTACCTGTCATGTTAACTTAAATATTAGAGGCATGTGTAATTATTTGAAGCTTCTATTTTCCATCAAACATGCCTTCTTTTAACACCTCACGAATTTGGATTCATCCATTATAAATAAATCTCGGCAATATATCTCAGCAATACATAAGAGAACCGTCTACCTGATTACGAACAACACTATAAAAGTCGAAGATAAGACGGCCATAATTCAACAAGAGACAGGAGGTAATCTACCCGACTTTAGCCGTAAATATACAGGCATCACCGAGTGAATTACGAGTCTCACGGTCTCTAGAACCTTCCAGATGTTTCTAAGTCTTCAATTATGGAAGAAATTACATATTTTATTGAAGCATTAGCATAGTAATCTCAGTGAGGAAGAAAAATTGAATCAGCTGTTTGTTGTAATGTACAAAGTAGCTTGGATTAGGAAGTTATTGCGAATTTTTTCTTTTTTTTTTTTTTGAATCGTGTCTGAGGTTAATCTTCAAAGTGCTCAAGGAAAAGTAAATACTTATCCATGTCAGGATACTCTCGATTGTAATTTTGTTTGATACGAGGATTTGTTCGATGGGAGACATTGTAATTACCAGTAAGACGAGTTGCTATGGCAACTATGACCATTGTTTTTATAATGTGGCAAAAATATTTGTTTCATTTAAAAAAATGAACTGAGCATTTTTTTTCAAAAACAAAAATAACACTATACTTTATCTTTACAGTAGTGATAATTAGAAAAGATAATAAAATTATGTGTAGGTAATACGTAGTTATAGAAAATTTTCGGGTCGTGGGTTCAATTCCTGAACGGAACAACTCTTTGTGTGGAGTTAATAAAGGTCGTCATACATTAAACTGTCAAACACCAAGCGGTCACCGGTGACCGCAACCTATTGTTCTATAATTGTGTCTATAATTTTTTTTTTTTTAAGGGGGGAAAATCATCGAATGACTGCTCCCGCCTGGGTGAGGCGGGAGGGAGTGTCAGACTCTTACTGACTAAAAACCACCCCGTTCCTTCTCCTGCACGTCGAGCCGGAGCCCCGGTTACCCGTTAGGTTCTCCGCGACTCCGAATCGGCATCGGCCCTATTGGGCCCCATCTGTGGTGGTCTGATGGCTCTTTGAGGCGCGCGCGGAACGCGACGCGCCGTACGCTCGGGTCTGTTTCTGGTCGGACGGGGAGCCACCCATGCTCGCCGTCCGCAGGCCCGCGCTTACGGTGGCCGGAGATCGTCCCGCGATCCCCGACGCCCGGTGTGTCCTTCGCGATGGCTGGGTTGCGAGGAGGCAGCGCTTCGCTGCCTCACGCGTCCCGCCTCCTCCTTAGCTAGCATGACTGCTTCGCAAAAGGAGGAGACGGCATCCCAGTCCCCCTCGCTCCGCATCATGGCCTGCACTAGGCCCGGACGCGAGAGGTCGCCATCGCCGATCACTTCCCTGAGGACACGGCGGTGCTCAGCCCACGCAGGGCATTCCGCGACAGTGTGTTCCACCGTGTCCTCAGGGCGGTCCTCGCAGTGATGACACCCGGACGTTTCCTCCCGCCCCATCAGACACAGGTACCTCCCGAAACTCCCATGTCCGGTGAGGACCTGCGTCAGGCGGTAGGTGAGGACGCCGTAGCGTCTCTCAAGCCACTCCTCAAAGAGGGGACTTACCGCTGCGATGGCAGCGAGCCCAGCCCTCGGTTGCGACAGTCGTTGCTGCCATTCCGCCATGAGATCGCGCCGGAGCTCATCCCGCCACGCGCCTATCTGGCGCGGCAGCGGAGTTTCGCCCCGGCGACGTGCCTCCGCGCGCATGCTGTACACCTAGAGCAGCGTCCGAGCGGGACGCCGCAACAGGTTAGGCGCCCAAACAAGGGCGCCGTAGAGGGCCATGGACCGCACGACCCCGGCGTATAACCTCCGGAATTGTGTCTATAATGACGGTACTCGACGAGTTAATATTCCATAGGTAACCATTTGCAAACTATTTTTAAATATTCATTGCTTCATCAAATGTAATAAATCTATAACTCTTAATTGGATAATTTTGTTTATTTTTGCATGACATAAATTTTATTTTATGTGTCTCAATTAATTTTAAAAAACTAATGGTTTTATAGTACCAATAAAGTATACTGGTATTTATTGTTATCACGTCCGACAACCTTTAATTTCTTGGTGATTATTTATTTTAGCATCTGTGCCTGGTTATAAATAAGCTCCTTTTTGCCTTTTTATGTTTAATTTTATGCCTAGGTGACCTCGTGCTGCTACTATTACATAGGTTTGATTTCGAATATTCTACAATAAATGATAATGTTGGAGAGGTACTTGATCTATTTATTTATCATTTCATGTACCTACACCACACCGTAGACAATATTATAAAGGACAACGCATTAAAAGCATGAGGTACATAGGTACTGCATATCCCTTGAGGGATTTCTTCCTGCAGACCTGCGATAGGAAAAGGAATTTAAACATTAGACACAGTGTATCTACTGATGTTTTGGAATGATACACAGGGACATCTTTTTTTAGCCCTTGAAGAAGATGAAGAAGAAGAAGATGTTTGATTTGTAACTATATTTTTTTTGTTATACAAAACAATGTTCTTGATTTGTAATAAGTAAATTCCTAAAACACAATACAAGAATATTTTATTAAAATTTATAACGTGAAAGTTCACGATGAATAGTTTTTCATAAAGAGATACAAAAGTTATTTTAATATTCGTAAACATTTCAAATCTCTTATTGTACTTTCTTGAATAGATTGTATACGTCTGCGAAGTTTCGCTTGAATAACTAAGATGTCGACGAAAACGTATTGAAAAAGTTTGGAACATTTTAACATATTATTAATATTTGTGACACAGTTTCAATGCTGAACAAATATTTAAGGTCCCTTTTGAAAGTTCGATAGATTATTCAAAGGTCAGGAGTTTCTAAAATTAAAGTTTTTCATAGACCAGCTGTGGATTATTTATGTTTATGACAAGCGTAACTGTTGCGTATGAGTTAGAATGAGGATGAGGAGGTTTTTGGTTGTGATTATCACACTGAACGTGAACCAGGCCCGAGCGTATGGCGCGTCGAGTTCCGCGCGCGCCTCAATGAGCCATCAGAGGCCTTAGTACGAGTTTGATTTACGTTTAAAGTATTCGAAACGAGTAAGCGTTTGGCACTCTGATTGGTCGGCTCCAATTAACCAACCAATCAGAGCCCCGAACGCGTACTCGTTACGATTACTTTCAACGTAAATCAAACTCGTACTAAGGCCTCAGACCTCCACAGATGGGGTCCAACAGAGCTAATGCCGACACGGAGCCGCGGAAGACTCAACGGGTTGCCGGGAGTCCGGCTCGAAGTGCAGGAGTAGGAACGGGGTGGTTTTAAGTCAGTAAGAGTCTGACACTCCCTCTCGCCTCACCCGGGCGGGAGATGCCATTGGATGATTTTCCCACCTTCAAAAAAAAATATATTCTTAAATTATTCTTATTCTAGTATTTTTGGTTGACTATAGACAGACTGCCTCTTTGGCCGAGTGGTCGCAAGTGCGACTGCGGGCAAGGGGTTTCGGGTTTGATTCCCGGGTCGGTAAAAGTATTACTGGGTTTAAAAAAAATCTCAATAATAGCACGGAGTCTAGAATTGTGCCCGGTATATGGCAATAGGCTCATCCCCTATTATATTGGACTCATAACATAAATAGTGAAAAGCGGGTGTTACATTGTACAGTGGCACTAAGAGCTGTAATAATGTACCTCTTCGGTGATAAAAAGGCGTGACCTT